CATTTCAAGGTGACCCCAAACTTTTGAACGGTATATATATATATATATATATATATATATATATATATATATATATATATATATATATATATATATATATATAGGGGAATATTTGATTTACTTCTCCCCCTTTTCCACTTCGTTTATTTCTACTTCTTATTTTTAATGCAACATTTTTAAAGCACCCTTTTACTCCACCATAAAAATTTATTTTTATCTTATTTAAACATTCTATTTCTTAAACAGTAATTTATTTCTGCCTCTAACTTTTCTGTTTCTTTACCCAAAGGATTTTCGCCTGCCCTTTCATTTCCTTCTCCTCCTTTTTTCACTTATCTATGTTTTAATAAACCACACGCCCTTATGTCGAAATCCTCTTAAAGGCGCAACCATGTAGTTTGTGTTTTTTTTTTACACAAACTAGATGGTTTCATTTCTCTAGAAATTAAAAAATATATTTAAAGTCGAGTGCCACATTCATCTCATTCCTTGTTGCTAGCTACACGAGTGGGAGGTGCACGGGTTGACGTCATGACGTGCTGCGCAGATTGGCGCGAGACTTGTTTAGTAACGTCTTCCTGCTGCTCCTCTGCTGAAGATATCCTGGAGAAGTATGTATTGTTATTTAATTAGTTGCGATTATAAAGTCTGTTAAATGAATACTCGTATGATTTTCAGTTCGTGTAGACATGTTTGGACTATATTTAATATTCCCTAATTATCTAATTCCGGTTCGTCGCTTAAATGTCTTAATTTGTCTCTCTTTCATCTGCTTTTAATGTCATTAATGTTGTTATAATATTCCAGATGATGCGCAAAAAACGACGCTCCTCGGTGGAAAAGGAAGCGGGAACAACCAGCACCTCTAGTAAGTTTATAAATGTAATCTCACACAAAACTCATAAATCGGTTAGCTTTTAATCTCAAGCTAACGTTACAATCAACAGGTAAAAATGTTTTTGCAGTTTTGATAAATTTAATATTCAAATCTAACAAAACAATCCAACTATACAAAACATGTTTTATCACTGTTACAATCATTGATAGTCAAATAATAACGAATACAGCCAACGAAATGATTGACGTCCTCTTTAGTTGATCAATATCCCCAGGAACTTGTATTAAATAGAATGCTGGTCAGCTAAGATAGTTAACAGCATAGGAGAATAATAATTCACTTACTCTGCTATTATGTACTGGTAGAGCTGGAATTAAGATCTTTAACATAGCTGTAACTATAACAAACAAGAATGGTTGTGGACCCATGTTTGGTGTTTAAATCACACACATTCACACTCTACATGTGTTGAGTTTCTTTATTTGTACAGACTTCAACAGCTACCCTTAATGTTGCCAGATTCTACTTATCAACACATCTACAGTAAAATATAATGCTGGGTTTGGCATAAGATGAAGGACTAGTTTTTGGAAAAGAAAAAAAAAATCCATGTCAACTGTTAAGCACAGTTGAAGATTAATGGTGCTATGGGCCTGGTTTTCCATTAATTTTGTAATACCCTGTATTTAACTATAATGATAAACATCAGCTACATCCGATATTGTGGTGTGCATTTCCTCTATCCAAATATCAACCATTGACCTTATAGTCAAAAACACGTGGCCAAACCATCTGCTTGACCGCCGTCTGTCAGGCTCTTATTTCCACTCCATCATCAGGCCCAGTATCTGTGTCCTACAGGATCAGCCCCCTCATAGATGCTTTTGTAATGCAAGTGCTGCTTTCCTTTTGTTCATAGAGGCAAAGAAGAGTCGCAGGACTGGCCACCAGCCCAAAGAAGTTTCCTCAGAGGAGACAAACGAAACTGTTTTTGTCACTTTTGTGAAAGAAGCCGGAGTCAACTTGAAACTCGATGGCACAGCTCATGAGATCGGTAAATGCCCTCCAAAGTGTGAAAAAAGAACAATGATGAACCTAATTAAGTCTGTTTACTTAAATCTTCTCTTTTTTGTCAAGTTGTTGACCAGGTAGTTTTCCAGAAGCGAATAAGGCAACAGCTGCAGAAAAGCCCCCGATACCCTGGTGTGAGTATTACACCTTTAACTCTTCTGTAACAGTCAGCAGATGTGTAACTGATTCTCACATCCATCCAATCACCTCCTCCCTCATTTAGATCCTGAAGGAGTTTATAACAGCACTGGAGGCTTACATTGAAAACCCAGAAAGGTTTAAGAATTGCCTTTTTCCCTGTGTTCCACAACAATCCGAGGACGACATTTGGTAAGCCTTATGCTAACACTCAGGGAATCAGATTTTATACCAGGCATCTTTCTGTGCACCGTATGGTTATGTTGATTTCAGCAAAGTGCAACACACGACCAGGTTTCTTCTTTTTCCTGCAGTTCTGTCAGCTCATTCCAGGAAAGCCTGCTCAGAATGTTATTGGGCATCGAAATGCTGCAGGTTTGTATGCTTAACCTATTAGAAGATTGTCAAATACATAAAAAGAAATCTTCCCTGATTGGATTCTCTTGGAGTCTTTAATGGTTTACAACTCTTCTTGCAGACTTTGATAATAAACACCTTGCTTGAAAAAATCCCTGAATTTATGCTTGATGGGTCAGTATTTTACAACTTTAGTTAATGAATAACTATTGAACAAATACTTTTCATAAACATCTTTTTTTAAATGATTTAATGCATAGCGCTGTGGATGGAGGATTTGATTTTCCTCGTATGATCATCAACCAGCTGAAGTGGCTTGACAGAGTCGTAGATCCAAAGGTGAGTCCTTTGCCATTTATTTAACTTACTAAAGTTTTAAACCAACTTTCTCTGTTTGTAATGATCTATGTCATCTTGGTGGTATTATGTTTAGTTCTCCTATTTTGCAGGACCTTGCAGTGAAGCTGATGGAGCTTGTGTCAGTAGCCCCTTTTGAGGTGCAGCGTGACATCATCACCAGTTTACCAGAGATACTTGAAGACTCTCAGCATGATGACATTGCCAGGGAGCTCAAGTATGGACGTAAAAACATTTACTTTAGTGCTGTTATTATTTCAGTCTGCCTGGTTATTGGATGTTTTTATCTCTTTTCATTGTAGTGCTTTACTTCAGGAGAACACTCAGCTAACGGTCCCCATCCTGGATGCCCTCTCCAGTCTCAACCTCTCATCATCATTACTGACAGAGGTGTGGAGGCTGAAAACTTAATTTGTTCCTGAAGTAAAGATATGCAAAAAGCCTTAAAAGAGATTATTTATTGTAGTAGCATCATCTTAGATGGCAAGTTTTAGAAAAATCTTATATTTGACTTGATTACTGAACATAAACATTCGTCCTTCATGCACATTAGAGATGATCTAATCAGGTTTTTCTGGACTAATGCTGATCTTGGATTTGAGGTTTACCCTGTTGGTTCCACCCCCAAAAACAGAAAAGGATGTGCTGCAGGTTATTTTAATCAGAGCCGGTAGTTTTGAGTCTCAAGAAGTTACAAGATTTTCCTTATTTGTGTGCTGGAAATAACTTTCAGAACCACAATCAAAATTTTATTAAGCTTAAAAGTTCATTTGAGATGTATACTTGTAGTTGATGCATTCAAAGACCAGGAATGTTGGTGTTTTGTAGTTTTGATGCTTTCTATAACTTTTTTAGCTAGGAAACCCTGCTTCTGCTCTCTGGCTTGTTGGCTTTTCTGTCCTCATTAACACTATGAGCACCGCTGGGAGCTCATAGTGGGTTAGCTGAAGAGGAGAGAGCCTAGCAGAGGAGCCATGACTTGTGATGCTCCCTCTCCTGTATGCTTTAACTTTATGAAACCTTATAGAAGAAGACTAACACTTTTATATTAAAATAAAGGGGTTGTAAAAACATTTGAACAGCAGTGGAAGAATTGTTGAAAATAATTATTTCTGATCATTTTTTGTTCATACTCAAATGTAAGGTGGAGTTTTCCTCAAATTTGCAAAATGGAATCATATAACAGAGATGTTTACCTTATGTTTCTTTGCAGAACTTTACCAGGGATGCCAATCAGTGGGACCTTTACTGTGCAACACTTCCTGACTGTTTAAAGATGTCTGTTTCAGGTCCGCGATGCAGTTATGGCCACACTGGGCTCTGTGCAACTACAGGATCTACCTGTGGTGGTCAAATTCATCCTGCATTCTGTCTCCGCCTCAGATGCATCCGAGGTCAAACACAGAGTCTCATCTATAACATATCACTGGTCATTTGTTGTTGGTTGTTATAAAAATAAGCGTTTGTATGCCTTCAGGTGGTGAATAATCTGCGCAAAAAGCTGGTACTAGAGCAGTGCGTCCTTCCTCCAGTTCTGCAGGCATCACAGAGCCGCATGAAGAGCAAATCAACAGCAGGGTAAAAAAACAGAGCGCCTCAACTCTGTTATATATTGATATTAAACATTTTCATTTAAACAGGTTCAGAAAGTTCTTTATTGTTGTTTTTGTCTTTAGTTCTGCTTCCACAACTGCATCCGGCAGCAGTCAAGACTGCGTCACGTTGATACTGGACTGCATCAAGTCAGCAGTTCGGTTCCAGAAAACTATTTCTGAGGCATGGCTCAAGGTTTGTAATTAATTAATTCAGAACCTTTGAAAATCCTTTTAAATAAAGAAGGCTGCACAGTGATGCAGCATTTAGCACTGGTCTTGGGTTCAAATCCCAGCCTGGCTGTCCTTTTACACCTGTGGGGTTCTCTCCAGGTACGTCTTGAATGTGCATGGTGTGTCAGTTGTGCTGTTTAGACTATGTAGAAATGTGTGATCACACATGATTGTCTGTTGGTGGAAAATTGATGGACTGGCGATGATTGTATGAAATAAAAGGCAGAAATCTAAAGAAAAGTCTGGTTTATGTTGTAAAGATTAATAGGGTTGTAAGACCTTCAGGGTATATTTAGTTTTTATGTTTTTGTTTTTTTTTAAACTTGGGTCATAAACATTTTGAATTTTCAGTGCTGTTGACTGAACTTTGTTTTTCATCATCAGGCAATAGAGTCTGTGGATGAAGTCGAAGACCACAAGGTAAATGCAGTTGATGGGGGTTCAGTCTGTCCTCAGCTGAAAAAACCAAGCGGTTTGGGAACATGATGCTTGAATGAGATGACTTGTTTGGTCTAATTCTGTCCTTCTCACCTACACCGCCTTCCTGTTAGATCTGTTGATCCTGTCACTGATATGACAGAGGCTGTGTCAGGCACCTGCGGCTCTAATGCTTATTGTCGCATGTTGTGTTTGGATTTGAGTCCCAATAATTTCCATGTCACCATATCAGGTTTTAGATCTGCTGCTGCTCTTCATCCTCCACTGCACCAACGCCAACCAGAGCCGCCGGGGGGCAGAGAGACTGCTAAAGCTTAAAGTGAGAAAAGGGCTCATTCAGGAGGCTCTGCTACAGAAAACCTTCAGGGACTACTCTCAGGTGGGGCAGTCTGTAAACACATCATCCTCTGTAAAGCAAAATTACCTCCCTTCAGATTTAAAGCCTGGTAATTGCTGTGTTTACAGGTCCTGCGAGGGTACTTCCCCTCTATCCTGGCTCTGGCTCAGAGTTTGGTGCGCTCCCCTGATCCCTGTGTGGTGCCTTTTGGTGGGCAGATGCACAGAATCTCTTTCACTGTGTTTGACGCTTACTGCCAGCAGGTGGGGTTGTTATTCATTGAAAGCCTGCATTTTACATCAACAAGCCTCAAAGTGGTCTTGGTTGTTTTCTTCTTGTAGTGGAGATATTTTGTCCAACAACAGATAACAACAGATAATTAAGTGATGTTTCATGTACTGCCTGTTGTGTAGAGTATGAAAATTGGGCGTAATGACTCCAAGAAGTATATTCTGGAAACTCCAGTTGTGGTTTGATCTGATCCTAATCTTTTATTTTACAACAGCCTGTCCCTTCAGAGCAACGGAACCAAATTAGATTTAAATTAGGTTCAGAATGAAGCTAAAAAGTAGCATAAAGACAGAGTACATTGTGCAAGAATTAGAAATTTTTTTAAGATAATTTATCTTAACTGTTATGTATTCTGATATTCATGTTAAACACAATGGTTTACATATATGGATAATTGTTCAAATGTAAGATGGGGAAACAGGGAGGGGTAATAGCAGTAGGCGAGTATGAAATGAGGCTATGAATTTTGGAGAAGGTAAACTGAATGAGAAATGAGTCGGAATGATTTTGTTCTGTATTGGTTTGTGTTTTGCAGGCGGTTGTTGGCTCTCTTGTGACTCATGTGTGCAGCGGTGTAGGTGGGGAGGTAGACGTGGCGCTGGAACTGCTCTGCAATCTTGTAATGGAAAAACCCACAGAGATGGCTCTCTATGCTGTTTTTGTGAAGGTAAATGGATGCGCAGACGTTTTAAGTTGATTGGAAACTTTGTCCCTTGGCTTTAAAAAAACAAAAAAAACAAAGTGAGACTTCAGATCACTGTAACTTCTGTATCTAGACCAGTGTTTGGCAACCCTGGTCCTCCAGGCACTCTGCCCTGCATGTTAATTTTGATATTCTTTTAGTTAAAATATTTTGGGCCTGATCTCCAGAAGGTTTTCTTTTTTTTATATTTTTTTCTTGTAAGTTTTTGAACTAACATCCAAATCGAGCAAATTCATAGGTGGAGGATAAGCAAATGTAAACATTTAACATGTGCAAAGGGAATTTTCAAATTAGAAACTCAACTGCTGCTGCAGTTTTGATGTCTGCTGTCATTGTTGCTGCAGTTGTTGTCTGGATTTAATAAAACATAACCGTGCACAAAGCATGTTTATGTTTTATTACATTCTAAAGTGCCTAGCTTGTTTTGCAGTGTATCGTGTCAAACTGCTGTTGAGAGGAGCTATTGGCGACAAACCAGGTGTTTTTGTAAGCTGCTCCTGTGTCAATTAGCAAAACAGAAACATCTTTTTCATGTTTAATCATATTTTATATTCTCTATTTAGGTTTACTTATTTTCATCATTTTATTTTTATACTTTTGTTTGTAGCACATTACAGTATGCTACTTACATATGGATAGTTCCAGTTCCTTCCATCTGGTTCATTGCTCAGATTTCCACTCACTAGAAAGAACCGATTAAAAAAAGGCCTTTGTTGCATCAACCGCTTCAGAAGGAAAAGGTAGCTTCCCAGTAATGTTTTATATGATCGATTTTACTCTTTTCCTTTATATATGTATATTTTTATATCGTGTAATTTTATGCATATTTTATGTATAAAATTTGTCTTCCTGCACTTCACAAGTATTTGCCTGTTTTGGGGAGAAATAAAGTAATTGATTTACCTATTTTAGGTGCACTACAAATATTATTTAGTATTTAAGTTATTATTTTTGAAATAATTATCAATATAGCCTTTATCTCCCTGGCTTTAAACCTCATATTTCTTTAACTCTCAAAACTGTCAGTATTGCACACAATCTGTTAATTTTAATAGGAGGAACCAGATCTTTTTTGCATGTTTTAACATTGCGCAGCAATCACATGCAACAGGCCCACTTATTGCATGTACTAAAAAAACAATGCATTTGCAGTTTAGCACCTTTAATTTAGAATATTTGAAGACCAGACACTTGGCATCTTCTGTCTGTGACAGACCCCACCATCTGGAATAGTGTAACCGAAATTAACACCACCCTACCCATCACTTTATCATTCTATTAAAGTTGCTCATCAGTCGGTTCAGGTTTTAATCAGTCAGTCTCTGTGCCAAAGGGAATCCTGGACTACATGGACAATCTCACTCCGCAGCAGATCAGAAGACTCTTCCATCTCCTGAGCAGAGTGGCGTTTGGGCAGCAGCAACAAGGATCTCACATCCAGGTGAAAATTCATGCATTCCTAGTCATCAAAGCCTGTCTGTATCTATCTGTTAGCATCCCTCCATTCCTCTGCATCTTTCTGCTCCTGCAGGACGACATGCACATAGTGATCCGTAAGCAGCTGTCCAGCACGGTCCCCAAATACAAGCGTATAGGAATCATTGGTGCCGTGATGATTGTTGGCAGCATGGGAGCCTTGAGGTAATACATTGGATACACTTTATTTTTGTTATTTTAATCTTAAATGTTCTATGTTACAGTCTCTCCTTTCCCAATCTCAGGTCTAAAGGGAAGGAATCACAGGGTGGCTCTTTGCCTCAGGAGACACTAAGACAGGTATTTAGCGATGATTAATTGTTAATGTAGCATCTTAACTTAATGCACCTGTGTTTGGGAGAGCAACTGTAGTAACTACAAAGGTACTATCTAGACGTAGCTGATCTAAGCTTCCATCTTCTTCCTGTATAAACCCGCCACAGAAAATGATTTTAAACCAATCAGTGTGTAATGTAGAAATTATTTTTAATTATTTTTTTTATTATTTTCATTTTTTTTTTTTTATTAATTTTTTCTTTTCCCTTTTGTAGGTGACGGCTCTGTTGGAGCTGGTGAAGTCAAGCAGTGAAAGCTCTCCAGAGGCAGCGGCTCTGTACTACGATGAACTGGCCAGCCTTATCTGGAGTTCTTCGTTGGACCCACAGGTGCAGGTGTGTCTCACCAACCTCTAACAAAAGCAAATTTCTACCTAATATATTTATTTAAAACATTTTTACAAGTAAGGAGTCTCACAAACAAGCATTTTATGTTGACTGTCTTCCATGTTTTTTTTTCGACAGGAAATGATTGGAACAAGCGTCCTGGATGACTTCCAAGATGATTTTGTGGTGGACGTCGGACCTGAAATAGCAGGGTTAGTTCTCAGTTGTTAAAGACATTAAATGTACACATTTAGCCATGTTAGTCAGGTAGATGGCAAGTTTATATGGGTAGATATGCATCTTTTGATTAAGGTAATCATTTAAAGGGCTGTAATGTAAACTGGAAAGATATAAACATCTTGTTACTTCTAACATTCTGTAAAAGTGGAAACTGTCCAAACCTACGCCATGTTTAAAGAGGCTCTGATCCCTTCTTTGCTTCAGGTCATTCCCCCTTCCAGCCTTTGCCATGTACAACCTAGACGAGGAGGAGAGCCAGGGATGTATCGCCATCAACCTGCTGCCTCTACTGGCCAATGAAACCCAAAACAAAGTCGATTCTCAGAGTGGAAAACAACAGAAGTCAGTGATTTAGTTATATAATTCATTTAATGCAGATGTCCCTATAACTGCTAATATCTTGCATCTATTTTCTGTGGCAGGCGGGTGTCCCCTCTCTGTTTATCCCCCTTTTTCCGCCTCCTGAGGCTCTGTGAAGAGAAAAGACATCAGGGAGACCTGGAAGAGATTGATGCCCTCCTTGGTGAGAAAAAAAGAAAAGCAAATTGTTGTTTCCTTTGTTTGTATTTGTCTAGTTTAAAATAGTCCTGCATGTTTCGGTTTTGTCCACCACAGGCTGTCCGCTGATTCTGACCAACATGGATGTAGTGGATAAAGTTGAAAGCCTGTCGAAAGCTGAGAGGGAGTTCCTCTGTACTTTACTGTTTCACACCATCAACTGGTTCAGAGAGGTAACAGCGATTTGCAATAAACAAAATAAACATCTTGGTTTGTTAAAGAAATAAATGTGACGGAAGTTTGCTTTCTAAGGTGGTAAACGCCTTCTGCAAGCAGAAAGAAACAGAGATGAAGATGAAGGTGATGACTCGCTTGCAGAACATAACTTTTCTGCAGACTCTGTTGGAGAGGGCTCTTGCAGGTGCAATTTTTGTTTGTTTTTCCAATAACTTGTGTAAAAAAATTCCCCCACCCAGTAATTTTCTTGACCCATTAACTGTAGCGTCCTTCATATAACTTCACATTTGCAGCCTCATTCTGCTACAGTAAGGCCACTGTGTGCTATTATATATACCGGTATTTAAATGTCAGCCTAGACCCTCCAAAGGCATAAAGAACAGCAGCTGATTTAATTTATGCTTTTTCAGGCATTTTAAAATCCCTTTTGTTGATTTTTGTTGTGGCCAGTTAACAGGTTAAGTAGTTTTTTTCTCCCTCCTGCTCTCAGGAATGTCTGGGTACATTCCCCCTGTTTGTAACTTTGATGGAGAAACTACAGATGGGATGACATCCAGTTTTGGAGTCCCTGTAAATAAGACAAAGAAAGGTAATCAAAGCCTAGATTTTTTTTTCTGTGGTGTTTCAACTTGTATTTAACTCTAATATCATGCTTAGATGGAACCGGGAAAAAGAGAAAGGCTCCAGGTAAGAACGTTCCAGAAGGAGTCTCTCAGCCTGAGGAGGGTACTGAAGCAGATGAAACTCAGCAGGTAATCCTCTTTATCCCATATAAGTCTGTTTAAAGCAAGTAAATATGCTCAATGTGAATCTAAAATGTCCAGCAGGATCAGCCAGAGAAGGAGAAGGAAAAAGAGATCCGGCCTGGTGTCAGTTTGGCAGCATACAGGCCCTTCTTCAGAGAGCTGGACATGGAGGTGCTCAGTGTTCTGCAGTGTGGTTTGTTGTCACGCTCACTGCTAGACACTGAGCTCCACACCAAGGTAGTGTTAGCAATCATTGATGCAATTCTGGTGTGGCTTCATTGCCTCTATCATAAATGTATGATATTGTTTAAATTTCCTAGGTTCGAGAGGAGGTCCTGCTGGGCCCGACTGAACTGGCCTTCCTGCTAGAGGATATGCTGCACAAAGTGGAGTTCAGTCTTACAGCTGCCCCAGCCAAGAGAGCTCCTTTCCTCAAGGTAATGCTGAAAAGCACGAAAAAAGAATAGAAATATACTGGAACAAATTAACAAACAGTAATAGCAAAAGGGACGGCTGTCGCTGATCAAAAACCTAGTTTTTGCAGAAAGAGAAAAATCTAAAGGTTTTGTCATTTTATTAAATGTATAAATTGCTTAAAAATAATGCCCCAAACCAGACACTGGCATGAAGGGTCTTGCCTAAGGACCCACACTGGCAGCTCATTCACCCCAGCTGGGATGCAAACCCAGGCCTCCTGTTTGCAGGACGACTTACTTTTAAAGGAAAGCTCTATGTTTACACCTTGAAGCTTTCTCTCTCCAATTCTTTCCTGAGAAGAACTCATTCGGGACAAACTCTTTACATAACAACTCATAATGCACAGTATGTGTATTAAATAACCAAAAAAATGACAACAGATTTTGATAGAAATTGTAATCTTACTCAGATCAGAAAAGTCGCTTAGGGTTACAGAAAGCAGTGGTTACCAACCGCGCTTGAATCTTGTTGAAGTGGCCCCAAATCACAGTTAAAGATGCATTTTATACAACTCCAGTCTGTCAAATCATCACATCATACATGTTTGTAGTTGAGGAGACATCCATGGCTTCAGTCTTATCAAAATATTAAGATATGTTCTTAGATCAAGCACACCACTCTCATTCAGTTCCCAAATCTTTGCAACGTGCTTAATGAAGAAAACTTTATCCTGACAGAGGACCTGTCCTAGTTAGATAAACTGGTTGGAAAAAACATTAGTTTTGAAACTTAACAGGCAGCTAATATTAGGGTTTAAGAGACTTGCACATCCTCAGCAGGAATAATCCTATCTGAGTTTTGTCAAAATCTGTGTTTCTGTAGTTTTATTATTGCCGTCAGCTTTGCTGTAGAGGCTGAAACCCCATCAGTACTTTGATCAGTTATGGTTCACCTATTTTCAGAGGAAATAATAAACAGGATAACCCTCAAAATCTGTGTGGTTTTTGCCAATCACATTTAGGATCTCAAATATTGTAAAATTCCATCATAAAGCCTTTATATTTACGCTCATGCATCTTTCTCCTTTTTGTTACAAAATAGACCAGAGATAGGCTTCTATTGCAACAGCCTAGCTTTAGCTTACATGCGCCTCTTAAATGTTAACTTTCAACTTGAAGTGCATGTTTACTTTGAACCTGATGCTGTAGTCATGTTGGGTCGAGTCTCCACCAGTTATCTGAACTTGTAGAAGAAACATTGAGCAAGATGAAAAATGATAAAGCTGTAAAACAGAAACCTGTACCCTTCCCTATCTTTCTCTTGTAGGCGAGGGCTGATAAAACCGTGGGATTCTCACATCTACAACAGAGGAGTACTAAAGATATTGCCTCCTACTGTGTCCAGCTACTGCCTGCCCTCTGCACACACCTGGAAAACTGTCATAATCATTTTCAGGTACAGAATCAATAGATTAATTTTTTTTATTTGTGTGTCATGTCATTAAATCCTGCTTTAGAAAACCTGTTAAATGTTTGTGTCTATTCACAGACGGTGCTGTCGGAGAACAATGGGGTTGTGGATGGGCCTTCAACAGATGTGGAGGAGTACCAGCTGATGACCTCAGGGTACCAGCTCCTCCTGCAGGTCATCAATACCACCTTCAGTTGGTGAGCGAACTCTGAGTCCTAAATCCACAAACCTGGATGTTCAGGGTACCCTGGTGGGCTTTTTTGGTTGTAAAACTGTTTTATAAATGGCATCTATCAGGTCTGGATTCAGCCAGCCGGGACAGCGGAGCTTGTTGAAGAAAGCTTTGGGAGTTTTGGCAGGACGACTGAAAGAAGGGGGTCCTGAACTGACCCTTGATCAGCTTGTAAGGTAGGTAACAGTTTGTTATACCTACTTTATACCTCATTCTTCTAGAGATGATTCCATGTGTTTGTATGTGTTTTTTTTAATCTCATATTTAAGGTCCTTTTTTAATGTATGCATCCGTGTTATAATGGCAAACGTTTTTTTATCCTTACTGTTCTAGGCACAGTTTTGAGTACCTGCTGAACTTCCGCAGTACGATGCCGAGCCTGAGCACAGCTCTGTGTCTCTCTCAGCTTCTGTCAACGCTGTCAGAGAAGGGAGGAAACCCTGGTGCCTTCAGAGAGCAGATTGGTGAGGCATGGGAACCTCTTATAAATCCTATAGTTTATAATTCAACAGGTCATGTAACAGGTCTGATTTTTGCGTGGCAGCTTCCCTGGCACGTCGTTTCCTGAGCCAAGGTTGGGTGACAGCCAGTGGAGAGAGAGAGCGAGGCAGTAAATTCAATGAAACACTTCACACACTCCTAAGGTAGGTCTATATCACAACAAATAAATGTGAACTTCCTGCTATTTTTCTTTTACTATTTGTGTCACTATCACTGTATTGCAATGGTCTCTGCTTCCTGATTGAAACTGAGACTCTAAGGCCCTCATGTACTTGTCACACACATCACCCCTGCGGTACCATCCCGTCCCTCCATTTAGAAATACCCTTTTTATTTATTTAAAATGTATTTATTGAACTTTATTGATGATCACATTAGAGAAATTCACCTCTGCATTTAACCAATTCGATTGGGGAGCAGTGGGCTGCCATTGTGTGGCACCTGGGGAGCAGTGTGGGGTTAAGGGTCTTGCTCAGGGACCCAGAGTGGAGCTTGTGGGGATCAAATCTGGTACTTGCAACCTTCTCAGAGCACAAGCGCACTGCTCTAACCACTAGGCCCACACTCCCCCAACAATGTAATGTAAAAAGTATTTTTCATAACGTCTCTCTCTCTCTTCACAGCATCTACCTGGAGCACGTTGACGATGTTCTAAAGGCAGTGGAGGAAATAGCTGGAGAAGGAATCACTGAGCTCATCAATGCAGCCAAAGATGAGAGCTCTGCATCCTGGCCCACTCTGAGCAGGCAAGTAATTCGAACTAGTTCTCATTTACTCATAATGTTTTCTTTGCTGGTAAATATCTGTAGCAGCAGAGCACTGAGCTACATGTTCCATAAAGCGAAGTTGTAATCGGTTTATTTACCAAATTAAAAAAAACATTATTCTGACATTATTCTTTTTTCCTCTTCATTACCTCATTGTTCTTTGCAGGCAGACATTCCTGGTTTTCTATAAGGTTTTGATGGCTGAGCTGGAGAAAGCTGTCAGGAGGATTCCTCCGGGTAAAATGAGCGACAACTCTGAGGTCAGACTCCTGCTGTATCCCTGTTTGAAGCATCCATCAGTCTTTCGTGTGATTTTTATGAGTAAGATGGTAAAGCTCTGTTTCCATCATTTAGGCTCAAAGTGAGAAACTGCTGACATGGAACCTGGCTGTCAGAGATTTTCACATCCTGGTCAACCTCGTGAAGGTAGGTCACTTATTATCCATCCATCCATCCATCCATTATCTTACACGCTTGTCCCAATTGGGGTCGCGAGGGGTGCTGGTGCCTATCTCCAGCAGTCAATGGGCGAGAGGCGGGGTACACCCTGGACAGGTTGCCAGTCCATCGCAGGGCAACACAGAGACACACAGGACAAACAACTATTCACACACACACCTAAGGACAATTTAGAGAAGCCAGTTAACCTAACAGTCATGTTTTTGGACCGTGGGAGGAAGCCGGAGTGTCACTTATTATCATAAAGCTGTAAACATCTACATTTTTAATAATAAAATAATTGTTGGCCTGAATGACTATTATTTTTTTTTTTTTCAAAATTCATGAATCTTGTTAGTTTTAAAAAACTAGATGTAAAATTTTGATTCTAATTTGGACGTTCTACACTACAAATAGAATCAAGGTTGTTCCTGATACTCAAATACCTCTTTTTAATGTAACTTAGTAAATTAGGGAAGAAAAACATGCCTTTGTAGACTTAGTTATTCAAATTGGACATTTAATCTCTGGTCATGTTTTTCAAACTGCTTAAGCCCCATTTTCACTCCCCATTTGAAGCTGTGCAGAGAACAGTCCCAGCACAGTAACCGCGATAACTGTTGAGTGTTAATTTAACACAACAGAACTGGACCGTGCCAGACACAACCGAACCGTGCTAAATCTAGTACTAGTTCAACAGTAGGGCTCGTCACGGTTCAGTTGTGGCTTGGTTCTCTGATAACAAAGAGCACATGAGCAGACCGCGTCATCTCCTATTTACAGTCAGCTGACTCATTTCATGGGTTGTCCAGCATGTCCAGCTTTTCAATTTACAGATCTCTTCAGCTGTTCACAACACAAACTTCTTCTCAGCCTATTAACAATAAATCACATCAAAAGAACGTGTTGCTACCTGGGATTATGCAGGGACTGAGGCTCTCATTGAAATTTGGGCAGAATACGCTATCCAGGCACATAAGTTCCTGAATGTTATGGTCGCTGCCATTTTGGTTTGCATAATTCCCACCTTGAGAGCTGTAGTATTGTTAACCACCGATAGGAGGCGAGGAACTGTGCTAGCGTGATGTGTAAATGGTTGAAAGAAGCAAGCTTGTCGCAGTTAAGTGATCCAATCTCGGTCCAACCTCAGGTTTCAGAGGGGTAGTGTAAATGGGTCATTAGTGTTTTAACCAAACTAGGCCCTCGAATAAGACATAATTGGTTTGGTTTTAAACAAACAACCAGCAAGGCTTCAGTCTGACTTTAAAGGAAAACCATCTGAGCACCAGTTTTAGCTATCGTTTAAATGAGGCTTTTAAAGCAACGATTACTGGGTAATCTGGGGGTATCATGCCGTGGGGCCATTTTGCTCTCAGTGATGCTAGTTATATTTTACATCTTAGGTGGAATAATTAAGGAAAGAGTGTCCCCAAGCTCTTCAACTCCATGTAAAATTACTAGATGGTTTAAACCTTCACCCCAACTGGGCGAAAACGATCCCAGACAGCAGCTAAATGTTTTAAGATGGATACAGAGTAACGTTAAGCTTGTGAAACAGCCCTGACCTAAATAGAAATAAAAGGACTGTGCTTCAAAGCTGAATCTGGCGGGACACCTATCAATTTAAAGTATCTTTAATATTTTTTACCAGAGAAATCAAATACCCAGCCAGATTAAAGCCAGATTAAAGTTTGGGCTTTTAATTGGTATGGAGGTAATTATGTGAAACCCAGAATTCATAAAACATTCATGCCAAGAGTAAATGGTGGTAAACTGCTGACCAGGACAGACTTTTAACCAAAATTATCATATTCTATATTTTTCTTTAATCTTTAGATTCAAATAAACAGTTTCAAGTCACATTTGACTTGCTCTTATTGTTCTCACCCAATTCTTAGTAAATTTAAAAGTCTTTGTCCTTTTGATCTCCTTGTAGGTGTTTGATTCCAGGCCAGTACTTAATGTGTCTCTAAAGGTGAGCTCTGTCTGCTTTCTGAGGAAGTATTATTAATTTACAGCGGGTGCTGTTACTGTTAACCGAGAATTTTTTTTTTACTTCTACTAGTATGGCCGCCTTTTTCTGGAGTCTTTTCTGAAGTTGGGAATGCCGCTGCTAGACTACAGTTTCAAGAGGCACAAGGTAGAAAAATAAAAGCTAGTGTTATGTTTGGTATGTGTTGTTATGACTCCTTTTTGAAAAAGTACTCTGAAAAGAATTTTCTACCCCAAGCAATAATGTCATTTAAATGTTTGTTTTATTTCTGAACACATTATACCCCTGTGTATTTGCATCAGTTTTATGTGCGCTTTTCAATATAGCAGCAAGTTGGTCCTTAAGCTAAGCTGAAAAGTGGAAAATAGTGTCTAAATGTAAGTGTATTTAATTACTGTCTGTGAATTGTTTTTTAAAGGAGGATGTCCAAAGCTTGCTTAAGACTTTCCAGCTCAGCACGAGGCAGCTCCACCACATGTGTGGCCATTCTAAGGTGGGAACAGATATATTTCTGCTTACCTTTTTACTCCGATGGGGCCTTATCTTCAGAAGCATCTGCCTGTTTTTGTCTCCGTTCACTAGGGGTTTTAAGAAAAAATTGATTCTGTCAAATATCACAAAAATAATTTTGGCAACAGTCGCATCAATATAAGAAACAGAACAAAAACAATATTGCAATATATCGTTGGATGATATTGATTTAAAATATGGTGGCCTCGATCATAAATGTAAAAACATGTACAGGCAGGCATCCATTTCATTTTATTTATGCCGCTGTCACACCTTGACGATTTAGACAGTGTATGCTGACGTACAAAAAAATCTGGCAAAAAAAACTGCAATACGTTTGATAAGTTATGGGTCAGTTTTTCATAAGTTATGAGCATGCTAAAGCACACTGAAGCACGCTGGCACACATCGACATATGGCAACTATGTCGCTGTGTGGATGTATGCCAGTATATGCTCATACGTGGACCATAGGTTAAAGGTAAGTTATGTAATTGTTGACACACTTTAATTGTAAGTTACTCATAAGTGGTGGTGTCTAGCTTATCCAAAAACCTATGAGTAACTTGTGCATAACTTATCAAGAACCCCGATGTCCTTGAAGAACTTATATCTAACACATATCAACGTATTTGACGTGTTCACAGACGACAAATTTTTCATCTTTGTAACTATATCACAATATATAGGTAACTCCATATTGTGGTATGTATTGTATCTGCGTTTTCTAAATGCAAGGACGTTTTTAAAGGTCTCTGCAACTGAAAGTCTATCGGTGGTTCATGGACATCTGCAGATATCCATGAACCACAGCGCTTGTGGCGAATAAGCACTGTTTGCAGATGTCGCACTAAAGGCAGTTCCACCTACACCAGCCGGTTCTCTCGGCGCAATTATTGGTGTTCGGTGCAGAAAACGTTTGAACTGTGTGCAGAGTTCACACCAGCACTTGCTTTAAGCAGACAAACACTGTTGGAATTATTAATACAACTGCCATTTCTACAAAACCTGCACGATCTCTTTTACCTTTTACAAGAACCATATCTGTGTTAGAAAAGCTTCTCTTCCCTCGCACTGATTAGATGTAAACAGAGAAGTAGGCTAAATGCAGAAGATGATCTAAAATTAAAGTTTTCCTCTGCTGATCCAGACAGGCACACCCATCTCTTTAGCTTCCATTGAATCAAAATACTCCTGCCTCCACAACCTCTGATCTCATGGTTAAACTGAGCTGTTACTATGTTATTACAGTTGTTAATGACTCAGTTCAGCTGTTTTTCCCCTTACTGCAGTTCAGTTCATAATGCTGCAATTATTAATATATTGTCCACTGAATTTGCTTTCCAATGAGTGTAGCTGTTGAAGTAAATACCTAATAAACTGCTTTCAAACTATACATGAACAGCTGTGTCTTGCTTGAAAACTAATCTGAGAGATGTTTGAGAACCAATGTGCTAGACCATGGAAAGAGAGGTTGGCATTCTAGCAGCGTTCGATTTATGATTTGTAATTTTTCTGGTGCAGCACGAGCCTGTTCAGCAGCTCCTACTCAGTCCTCGGTTTATCCTGTTTAGAGGCACATATCTAATAACCAGGTTATGCATTTTTAAATAGAGAGACAGATTGCTTTCTGATGTGATGACTCTTAACTCATATTTTAAATCTCTTTAAACCTACATGCTCCCATTAACCTGCCCCTTTGCTGCTTGTACAATCCAACTTCCTCAGACAATAAAGGATATTTTAATTCTAATCTATTTTTTACTTTTCTTCTTGGGTTGATCGAGGGTGAATGTTAAGAACATTTAGATGAAACCTGGTGCAAACATTGTTATAACAGAACAGTAATTCTTTCTAGAATGGCCTAATCTGTACCCTATTATTCCTAATGAAAATAAATGGAGTACAATTACAGACTGGGTCAGTGCCAAGAAACCAACACATTTAAATGGGTTATAGCAGGCATGTCCAAAGTTGGTCCTCGAGGGCCACTGTCCTGCAGGTTTCAGAGGTTTCTCTACTTCAACACAGCTGATTCTAATTATTGCAGTTCAACAAAAGCCTGTCAATCAGCTACCAATGAATATCAGCCGTGCTAAGGCTGGTAACCTCTAAAACCTGCAGGACAGCGGCCTTCGAGGAACAACTTTGGGCTTGCCTGAGTTATAGGATTTCTTAAAGGAAATGTGGTTAAATAAAAAAAAGGCTGATATTGGTTTCCTAATTCTTTGTTTACAAATTCAGTTACGTTGTATTGTTATTCCACCTTTTTATGAATTATTAAGATCCCATGACCATTGTTATTCATTTTTCATGCTCAGTGTATGTAAACTGTGTCTGAATGTGTTGTTTTTCAGATTCACCAGGACACCAGCTTGACTAACCACGTACCAGCTGTAAAGAAGAGCCTGGAGCTGTTTGTTTACAGAGTGAAGGCCATGCTGATGCTCAACAACTGCCAGGAGGCCTTTTGGATGGGAAACCTGAAGAATCGAAACCTAAAGGTTACACAGGGTTACATTTTTATCTGTCAGTGCATTTTGGTTTGCAGGCTCTAAAACAGTCATGTGATGCACCTTGCAGGGTGAAGAGATCCTTTCTCAGAGATCACAGGGAAGTGATGAGGACGATGAGGAAGAGGATCAGGAATTACCACCGGAAAAGTCAGATGATGAGGTACCATTTAGAGAAAAGTACTCGGATAGACTGCACTTTATCTCCTCATCAATATATCCATCTATTGTCTAAACCCACTTGTCCATGCATACATCACAGGGCAACATGCAAAGTCGCATCCACTCATAGCTAAGGGAAATCTAGAGAGACCAGTTAACATACAATCAAAAATGATTAAATACATGTGAAGTCTGTGCAGAGACCCCAGGCTAATATTTGAACTAAACACGTTGCTGTAAGGCAATAATGCGACTAAATATACCAGCAGACAGCCCATTATGTTTTTAACAGATTGAAATACAAACCACACAGCATTTCAGAAAAACAAACTTTTTTAGGGTATGAAAAATATTGCATTTGATTTGCAAAGTCACATTTAAAAAGTAAATATAGGACAAGGAAAAAAAGCATTTTTAAAGTGTATTCCATATTGTATTTTTCAATATATCCTTCCTTCCTGTTGTCTTGTTTTTTCTCCACAGGGACAGGAAAGTGATTCTGAAGAAATCCCCCGGATCAGCAGACAGGGTGACAGTGGAGAGGACTCTGATTAGTACTTGTTTTACTTCCTCTTAAGTCTCCTTTACAAATTAAACTCTTTTCTTTATTAAAAAGATTTAATTGTAATTTTTGTGCTATTAAATGTGCTATTAAATGCCAATTGTTCATGTTTTTTTGAGGCAGTAATACTCTGGACACTAAATGCTTCATGTGATGTGTTTATGTATCTTAGTAGAGACTAAGCTTATTAAAATGCTACTTTTATTTTTTTGTTCAGAATACAATGTTGTTTTTCAGTAAATAAAACATCCATGTAAAGCCACATATTGCTATTATCATCTTTTGTAACAGAAATCTGATAAATTGGTTAAATGTTTTTTTTTTCTATTTATTTTACCTTTTTACAAATGATTAGACTTGAGAAAAGAATCGCGCAGTGGGTCAGTGATTGTCTTTCTTCTATCTGTAATAAAACTTCCATTCAGGTCAGTGAATCAAACATTGGGAGTAACACAAAAAGTCCACAAAGATTTAAGTAGTTGGCACAATCAGAGGTGACCTACTTGGAGCCTGAAGAAAATGACTATAACAGCATTAACATACTGTTCCAAGTTGTTAAGTTCGTAATTAGGAACTGGACTGTAAAACTAAACACAAGTAGAGGTTGGTATATTGAAATAAGCAGTACTCTAATTTCAATGCAAGAACATGTTATGATGTAATAAAGTTCTGGATCGAATGAGTTAGAAAGCATTTAAGTCATAAAGTAAATATACATTTGATATTTATATAAAAGATTTACGTAAAAGTTTAAAAAAAAAAAATCTATATATAGACTCAAACTCACTGTGGATCCAGACATTTGAATTGAGAAAGCTTCCTGGAGAGGTGGAGAAACGTCTTCAAATCTTGGAAACCAAGTCCAGTGGATTTTTTTGAACTTTTACGGAATGACTATGACCTGGATGACTGAGAATCTTCATCAGCTATCCAAATAAGATTTTAATTAGGCTTATAAATGTTTTTGAAATAACTGATTAATTTGTGTATTTAATTCAAATTATTTGTGTATAAAAAGTGTATTTAATTATTTCAGTATTTGTATAGGTTGACAAAATGCCTTTATTTGAATTGGTCAGAAAAAGCAAATCTAAAAGGTGAATTACATTGACCATGAAACCCAATACAGAAGTCACCTTACTAGAACTCTCCAGTTTAATGGAATCAGTTGATGTTCATCTAATGAACCTCTCTGAACGTTTCACTAATTGCATAATTATATTTTTGGGAAAAACAAAGCTGCAATAATGTATAGTTTGGATAACTTATAAACAGTTTTTTATACCATATTGTAATTGCCATTATTATGTACAGTTCTATTAATAACAATATATTTATATTTTCTTACATTTTAGTCGAAATATATAAAGATATGAATAAAGTCAATGGATTTTTATTTTTTGTAATTGGACATATTTGATGCCTTGTAGTAACTAGTCCAAAGTGTGCAATGCTGCCACTGTTTCTCTGATGACAGCCTGGGTTGTACCACTATCAATACAATTGAGGGGGATCTTGTGCTATTAAAACGTGTAGTCTCGTCTTTATTAATGTTAAACAATAAATTAACAGGAAATCCACAGTGTTTCTGTATTTATATAATTTTTTGTTATTTCAATGGTGGAATTTAAGAACAGATTAGTTTTATTGTTCTTACCTTAGCGCCTCACTCCCCTCCGAACTGACAACAACAGTTCGACCGGGAAGCGTGCTCCACTGTTTGGGGAAATACCTTTAAACAGCCATCTCTCCAGACTTCCAACAGTTTTTCAGCTTTCACTTTTGTCTATTTGAGGATAACAGATATAGCTGCGTCATTTTTAAAAGAGGACATCGTCTTTCTTGGACCGTAACATTTTGCCTGTCTCTGGAGGGGAACGGTTTGGTTTTGCTCTGTCTCCTGCAGCTGCACCATGTCCGACTTCATCCTGCTGCTCCTCATAGGCTTCCTCTTGCTGTGTCTGCTGCTGACGGTCGGTGGGCTGCTGGTTTACTCGGGGCTCCTTTCGGACGTGGTGGTTAAAACGGGAGCTCCTCCGATTAGGAATGTCACCGTAGCCTATAAGTTCAGGGTGGGCGCCTACAAAGACTGCGGTGCTTTCTTCACTGAGTGCAGCAGCATCTGCCCAAAGCTCAACTCCATCGGGATTTACTACGATGACCTCAAAAAGGTGAGACCCCGGGCCCTCAGAGCCCATAAAGGACATGTTAACTGCACCTGACCCCATGACATAACCGGGAATGTTCCCTGCATGCTGATAAGGTGGTTCTGGAGATATGCTCTGTTTGACCTGGACCAAAGTCAGACAGTTGGTGATCAGGTAGTTGCATTGCAAAGAAAAGCCCATTTGACGTTTTGGTTTTAAATGCAGTGTGCACACATCTATTAACTACGGAAGAGGATTAGGGCCACTGAAGGAAAAAAAAAAAAAAAAGTTAACTGAATTTTAAATTTTATTCCAGTTTAATATGGGGAAAAACACAGAATTCTGACCTTGCTCTCATAATTCTGACTTTTTTCCCCTCATAATTCTGACTTTAATCTCAGTATTCTGACTTTAATCTGGGAAATACTGACCTCATTCGCAGAATTCTGACTTTATTCTCAGAATTCTGACTTTAATCTGGGAAATTCTGACTTTGATCTCAGAATTCTGACTTATTTCCCATACTAAACTGAAATAATATTTAAAAATCTGTAAACTTTTTAAAAAATTTTCAGTGGCCCTAATCCTCTTCCGTAATTAAGAACAGTTTTCTTGCTTTTTTTTTTTTTTTTACTATCTTGAGACTTTCTACAATAACAACCTAATCATTTTATGCTTGGTCTGTTTTAGTCAACTTTATTTAAATCCTCCTTTTAATATATAATTGAAACATTTGTCAGAAATATCAGATAATCTGTATTTGCTATATTCAGTTACCGTAATACCAAATGTATATTTTTAGGACAATAATACATAAAAGATGTACAAAGGAATATTAGGGAATTTGAAGATTCTTCCCAATATGTCTCCAACTGTTAATGTGATCTTTATAAATGAATGGGAGAAAGCTCTGTGGTAGTTATGAATGTTTTCTATAAGCTAAACATGTTGAAAACTTCTACTTTTAAGTAGTTCAGGCATTTAAGTATTTGTTTTGCTATTCAAATAAAACAATGGTCTGATTGATGCAACATCAAAATATACATTTGTATAAAGACTATCTTCAGTATAACTTCCTTGAATTTTGGGTTTTACAGACCCCACACAAAATAAAATGTTACCAAATAGAAAAAAGGCAACAAAAAAGTCACATTAAGATTAACACATTTTTTTTTCTCCAAGAAATTTATAGAATTTTGAGAATTTCAACTGTATTTATGAAATTTATCTGGTTTATTTGTTATTTTATGTTTTTATTTCTACCCTAACATAAGGGAAAAGGAAAGGCATATGAATCCAGCAATCAATCCTGTTTTGTAGGAATGAACAGCAGGATAAACGCAGCTTTGAATCATCTTAGAGTAAATCCCTTCCTAACAGTGTTAAGTTCCTCAGCTGGATAAATCTAGTAAGCCTTTTTATTGTAAACACTATTAAAGTGGAGCTTTCTGGCTTAAGGTATTTTCATTGTAAAGGAACATGCCCTGTACATTTTACATGTTGCGTTTTCTGTAAATCAAAACCTATTTTTAAGGTTAGTTCTTTGCATAATAGACCATTTAATAGATCATTTAGAAGTTTGTACAAATTTGGCAACTTTTCTAAATCCTGAGCTTTGATTTTCAATCTGGGCTTCTGTTGCATCCTGACTATTATCTACATTTACACAAACCTTGAATGCTTTATAGGAGAAATAAATATATAACATCTTGAAACGGAAACATACCTGCAGTGCTCATATTTGCTATGATTTCTCTCTTTCTCTTTAAATAAATTCTATAAATAAATTGGTGGAAAGAGTTGGAAGTCTGTGTTCAACATCAGCTGCTCATCTTAATCGTAACTTGAAAGGAACAGTTCGAATGATCAACAGTGCAAATAATAAAAGAGATGTTGTTTGGTGTGCATTGCTCAAGGGAATAATGTGCAGACAGTCTTTTTAAGGAAGTGGCTCTAAAGCAGGAAATAGTCAGCTGTTCAGTTGCCACGTTTCACTGGTGATATTTTTTCCTCCCTCTCATCTGCAGCTGCAGGCATTCTCAATTTGTTGGTCTCTAAATTAAAAAATGCAAGCATGAGAAAAGTAGATCTTGTCCATAATAGACCGCTGAATAGTTTGGGACACTTTCATTTTCATTCTGACTTTTGAGGCATTATATTTTTGCAAGAAGCAACACGTCCCTTTCTGTCGACCTGATTGAAAGCCAGAGTTTGCATAAATGTTAGGTGTGATCTGTGGTTGTTTGCTGCTATCTTCTATGCTTGTGTTTTGAGTCAACAAGAAATGTCCTCACAGCAGCTGCTGGTTAGACAAGACTGTTTAACATCCAGGCTAATGTGGAAAATAAAAGTATTCACCCAATCAATAGTTTGGAAGAGCAAAGTAGGAAAAACTGTTGACAGCTTTTATTTTTTATGTCCTAAACTTTGATGATCATGAATCATTGGCATATATTTTTTTACAGCTGGGAGGGTTAGATCATGTGACCAACCACGTGGCACATTTGAGACATTTGTCCAAACAGCCAGCCGTTCAGTCTATCTGGTGGACAAGTGACAAACGGACAGGTTCAGTGTCTGTTTCTTTACGTTTATCCATCCTCAGCCACCGATGTCGACCCTTAAGTTTGAGCTCTTCAGAGACTGTGGCACATTGACCAGACTGTGTTTGTTTTTCTGCTAACACCAACCAGCTCCCTGTCCTGCTTTTCATTCACAGACTTTTGTAGCGTGGCCAGTTCAGAGTCATTCCAGTGGAAAACTGAGGCAAAGCAAGTCTGGAAATGTTTTCTGTTGATTTTGGAGAGATGGCATCACAAGGAGCTGGATGACTGTAGAGGGGATGGGTCTGATGCCTTCTCCCGGAGATGGAAACGATCCTCTCCATGAACAGTGTGGTCTTGGAGGCCAAGCAGCCAAATCTCTCCCACCTTTTTGTGTAAATGATCAGCCCATAAATCCTATTATATAACCCTTAAACATGTTATTACAGGTTTAAGGGATTACAGCTTATAAAAGATCTAAAACCTTAATTGTATGATGCTCCCCTTAGTTTGTTATGTAACATTTGAACAATTTCCCACCAAGCAGGGAAACAAAGTGAAACTGAGAGGCTCCACCCATACAGCTGAACTTTGACTAATAGAATAAAATGTCTAATACACCAATTGCTGGTATTATGTTACTCTACGGTTGGATGCACTGCTCTACCTCTCCCATGAATGTTAAATTGGCTTGTTTTTACTAAATATAGATAATTTATATCAATGCTTCACAAAGTTAAGTTTGGTTATATTTGTATGTCATCAAACAGAAAGCATTGAGATGAGCTTTAGACCAGGATTTTTTTTTTTTAATGTAATTGTTTTATTTCTTCTCCCCTTCTTAACATGGTCTATCTAAAGAGTTTAAAGCTCAAACCAGTGATCATTGGAGCCAAAAGTTGCTTTGTTATTTATCGATTCTCTTGGGAAATTAAATATTATTAATATTATATGATGTTCAATTGGAAGAAATCTCTACACCGAGTGGCAATCTCCTTTTCACACTTGAAATATGTTCTGGATATCTCTAGACAGATGCATTGACCGGCTCATAGTTTTATTTATTTATTTTTCTTGTATTGTATTCATTAGTGCATTCAGCAGCCATGCCTTGAGATCATGTGACGTGCATGCATTGCATCTCCCTCCGTTTGTTATCCATTCTTAATATTTTTTGGGGATTTATTTATTTTATGCTTATATTGAGACGTGTCTAACATTTGTTACATTTGTATAATTTTTAGCATATTAACGGAGGAAGAAAACACACTATGGGATAAAAGAATCGGCCCAAAGAATTAGCAGCAAATGGTGGGGATCAGTCAGACTAATGTCAAAATAATCAGAATGGGCATCGACCTTTAAAAAAAACCTGAATTGGTCACTCTTAAGTCCTGGACTTTTCAGTAGTGGCTATAAAAAGCTGTTTCATAGCTGTTATAGTCCCTTATTTTTCTGACATAAAAATAGATTTCTTTTTTTCCTGTTGCAAAGGTCACAAAAATGTTAATCATTTGTGATCATTACTTCCAGAAGGTAAGACATAATTAGCATATAAGAGGTTCTTTTACTTGCCGTACCGTTCCTTTGTAATAATACCTGAGAACTAAGGAAATTTGTTCTTGTTTTTGTAAGTCTTTTGTCTCATCAGTTAGGACGCTGAAAGCCCCACTTTGCTTTACCTCTTCAATAATCTCCTTCCTGACCATCTCAGCTAGCACCTCCAAAATCTCATGTTGAATCATGTGACTTGTATATTTGGCATTGTAGTTGCGAAATGTCCTTCACTGTGTTGAGAAGGATC